CTTGGAGGACATAGGCGCCAGGATGTGGCACTTCGGCCACGGCATAAGGGCCTTCCCAATTTGGGGCAAGTTTGCCAAAACGAGTTTCAAACCCAGTTAGGCCAGCTTTTCTGAGAACCAGGTCTCCTACTGTGAATGTTTGAGGGCGGACCCGTTTATTGTAGAAGTTGGCTAGTTTTTGCTTGTATACAAGAGTTCGAAGTCGAGCTTCTTCTCTGACTTCAGCAAGCAGATCAAGGTTTTCCCCAAGCAGATCAAGGTTTTCCCGAAGCAGTTGTCTATTTCGTCCTTCATCGAAATGGGTAACCCGGAGGCTTGGGACTCCTATTTCAACAGGAATGACTGCTTCGGTACCAAAGGCCAAGTGGTAGGGTGTTTCACCTATTTCAGTTGATTATAACTTTAGAATGCGCTTTATGCATTATGCATATTTGCTCTAAGGTAAAGCATAACAGAAGAAGTAAAATAATATAGAAATTAATCAAATAAACTCGGTTTAAAGTAGTACCTGTGGCAGTTCGGCTCGTGGTTCTGTATGCCCAAAGGACGTTGTTGAGCTCGTCTGCCCACTTGGCCTTATGTTGTTCCAATCTCGGCTTTATACCTTCTAAAATGCATTTGTGAACAGATTCAACCATGCCATTGGACTCCGGATGGTAAACGGAGGTGAACTGTAACTTGATCCCATAACTGGAACAGAAATCTCGGAATGAAGAGCAATTGAATTGGGTTCCATTATCGGCCACAATCTGATTCGGGATCCCATATCTGCAGATTATCGAGCTAAAAACAAAGTCTTCGACCTTCTTAGAGGTAAGACTAGATAAAGGCCGAGCTTCTACCCACTTTGTGAAATAATTCACACCAACAACCAAATAGGTTACACCACAACCCCTGTCACGAATGGGCCTAAAAGATCCAATCCCCACTGAGCAAATGGCCACGGTGCTACCATGTTTGTGAGTTCTTCTGCTGGTTGGTGAGTTAGATGTGCGAAGAATTGACATTTCGGGCATTTCTGAACAAAGTAAGTGGCATCTTTATGCATGTTTGGCCAGTAATATCCTTGCCTTAAGACTTTGTGAGCCAGAGTCCTAGCACCGACATGGCTCCCACAGACACCTTCATGCACCTCTCGAAGTGCATATTCAGCTTCATAGGGGTTTAAACACCGTAGAAGAGGAAGTGAGAAAGATCTCTTCTACAGGACCCCATCAACAAGGGTATACCGAGATGCTTTCTTTCTCAACTTCATTGCCTCATGCCTGTCTTCAGGTACTATCCCATCTCGCAAAAAGGAGACGATTAAATCAATCCAGCTCGGCGTGTCTGGGTTTGTGCTAATCTCCATCACCCGAGGCTTCATGAAGCTTGGTTCATCTAAGATCTCTACAAAAATGGATCTGGAACTTAAAGAGCTATCAGAGGCGAACTTGGAGAGTGAATCTGCCTGTTCATTCTCAGCTCGGGGGATTTTACTCAGACAGAATTTCTGAAATTTGCACTTCAGCTCGGCCACCAAGGCTACATACTTCACCATCACCGGATCAACAACTTCACAGATAGAGTTGATTTGGTTTACCACCAGCTGGGAGTCACTGTACACTTGAATTGCACTGATTTTCAACTCCAATGCTAGTTGTAAACCAAGTAGTAGAGCTTCATACTCAGCCATGTTATTTGTCGCATCAAAGTTGAACTTCAGGGCATGTTTACTTCGGTATCCCTCTGGACCAATCAAGAGGGCACCAGCCCCTAAACCTTTGCTACTAGATGCTCCGTCAACATATAAGGTCCAATCATTGGGCTCTGGATTAGAGGTTGAAGGACATGGAGTACATTCAACAATAAAATCTGCTAATGCTTGGGCTCGGATGGCCGATCTCTGCTGAAACGTTATCTCAAACTCTCCCAGTTCTACTGCCCACTTAATTAATCTTTCGGAGCACTCTGGTTTCTGAAAAATCTGCCTAAGAGGTTGATCTGTGAGAACAATAATTGGGTGTGACTGGAAATATGGCCTCAACTTCCTAGCCGAAGTGACAACTGCTAATGCTGCTTTCTGCTCCGTGCAGCACACTGCTAATGTTATAGATTGGTTTCTGCTGCTTGGCTTCTTCTCTCACCAGAACTGAACTAACCGCTTCATTTGAAATCCCCAGATACAAATAAAGAATTTCCCCATCGATGGCCTTAGTCAGTAGAGGTGGCGAGCTAAGATAAGACTTCAGCTCGTCGAATGCAGTCTGGCACTCCTGACTCCATTCAAATTTCTTCTGTTTTCCTTATTCATCCTTCTGGGCGGCCGACCTCATAATCTTGAAGAATGGCAGGCACTTATCTGCTGACTTCGATACGAATCGATGAAGAGCTGCCACTCTTCCAGTCAACCTCTGTATATCTTTTACTGATTTCGGTGGTTCCATCTCGGCAATTGCTCTGATTTTTTCTGGATTAACCTCAATCCCTCTTCGGGACACCATGAAACCCAGAAACATTCCAGACTCCACGCCGAAAATACATTTGGCTGGGTTCAACCGCATCCTATTCTTTCTGAGGTTATTGAAGGTTTCATCGAGATCGGCTAGATGGTCTTCTGCTTTCTGGCTCTTTACTACGATGTCATCGACATACACCTCCAGATTCTTGCCGATCTGAGCTCGGAAGACGATGGTCACCATTTTCTGATAAGTAGCACCAGCGTTCTTTAAGCCAAACGGCATCATGATATAGTAATAAATTTCATCGCCAGCATAGAACGAGGTTTTCTCTTCATCTTCAGGAGCCATCGGCACCTGGTGATACCCAGAATATGCATCCAAGAGGCTTAACCTGTCATTTCCTGAAGCCGCTTCAACTAATCTGTCAATGCTCGGCATCGGATAGCAATCCTTAGGGTAGGCGTGGTTAAGATTTGTGTAATCGATACACATTCGTCATTTACCGTTTGCCTTCTTCACCAGGACTGGGTTAGCCACCCATTCGCAGTAATGAACTTTCCTGACGAAACCAGCTTGTAGAAGTTTCTCTACCTCCTCTTTAATAGCCTGAAGTCTCTCCCCCCCGAAGAGACACCGCTTCTGGGCCACTGGTTTCTTCAATGGATTGGTGCTGAGCTTATGTTGAGACACTGATTTTGGAATTCCTGGCATATTTGCCGAAGTCCATGCGAATACATCATTGTTAGCTCGGAGAAAAGCTATCAGCTCTGCTCTCTCCTCCGGGTTCAATCTAGTTTCGATCTGCGTCTTTCGGCTTGGATCTCTGTCATCCATGAGCACTTCTTCAACATCTTCGACCGGAGCAGCTCTGGTTTCATCGTCCGGTCGATTATCGACGATCTCTACACCCATAACTTGCTGATTATCAGGAATTCACTGTGGAATGGCCTCGGGTGTCTGATCTTTGCCCTTCGTTGGTTGTGTTACTAAGGTGATATAACAATGTCTGGCCACCTCCTGGTTTCCTCGCAGTGTTGCTATTCCCATAGGAGTTGGGAACTTCATACAGAGGTGAGACTGGGAAACCACAGTTCGGATTTCAGTCAGTGTGGGTCGGCCGATAACAATGTTGAAAGAGGACGCCATTTTGACTACGAGGAACCGGACTGAAGGGGTTACATAGGTTCGGCCACTCCCAAAAGCCACATGGAGGGTAAGAACTCCTTCCACCGGAACAGGTTGGTTGTTGAAGCCATAAATAGGACCATCATATTTCTGCAACAACGCTGGATCCAACCCAAAACTCTCGAAACAATGGAAGTACATGATATCTGGTGCACTTCCGGTATCAACAAGGACACGCTGTACTTCACAGTTGTTAATTATGACAGAAGTGACAAAGGGATCATTGTGGGGTGTAACAATTGTATCAAGATCAGCAGATGTGAAAGTAATGGGTTGAGTTTTCCACTCAGCATCGTCAATCTTCCGCTTCTAAGCTCGGTTCTGATGCTTAACCTCTCTGACATACAGCTTTTGCTGTTTAGAGCTCAGCTCACCTGCTTCAAGGCCTCCCGTAATCATGTGTATGATTCGAGCTGGTGGTGGGAGCGGAGGTGGGGCTTGCTGATATCCCACACCTTGTATATTTGGGGGATTGCGGACTCCTTGAGGCTGCGGCCTTTGCTCTCTGACAAACCTCGGTTGTTCAGCTCTCTAAACATACTCATTCAGCATCCTTTTCTGAGCTAAACTTTCCAGTTCGGACCTTAAACTGTTACACTGCTTTGTAGTATGGCTGTGATCCTGGTGAAAATCACAATATCTGGTATGGTCTCGACTAGCAGCAGCAGTTCGCATTGGGCCAGGACGTCTCAAGTCCATTTTGTTCTTAATCTGCATAAAAATCTGTGACCTCGGCAGATTAAAGGGAGTCCAATTAACTGGAGGTTTACCTGCAGATTGTTGCGGGGGTGTTGAGTTCGGCCTTTCGACTCTCGTTGGGGAGGTCAACATCGAACCTCGGTTCTGCGCCATCCTCATCCTTTTCTTGCTTGGATTGTCATCTCTCCAATCTGGGTTC